ACTAGAAAAAGTTTGGGAACCACTGCCCTAGTCTCTTGTGTGCCAACCCACAAATGTTATGGTACTGCTTACGTTGATTAGGCTCAATGTTGAATCACAACGTTTGGGGGCTGGCACACAAGAGACTAGGCATAGCAAGTCATAGACTTTGTATTAGGTATATAAACAGGATATACGCGGCGGGGACTAGAGCTAGTTGGTTGACAGTAGGCCTATTTTACCATAGACGTGGTCAATGGGGCAAAGGCTTGACTATGAGTATTACGTGGGGCCTTTAGCCTCAAGTTAGTCTATCAGACACAGAGTATGAGAAATAACGCCTTGAGTAGCACAGATGGGATGGCAGAGGTCGAGTGAAATACTTGAACCAGGGCGATAGTAGACGGGGCAAGAAAGAGACTCTGATAAGACCTAGAGAAGGACGGCGTAGCAATATGACAGACTCTAATCAACATTCCCAGCACAAGAGTGAAGGGGAGTGAGAACGCCAGCATGGAGTGTGGAGGGTTCTTATGAATGCTGCTCAAAAGAAACACCACATTACATCTAAGCACTTAAAATATTGTAACAGTGAATGCGTGATACGATGATATAGGAAATATGACTAGCCCAGGATAGAAGGAGATATACCACAACTGTTTAGCGCACGTTTGGTCAAAGAATCAGCTTCATTTGTCTCTGACGAGTTGTAGTATTGTGCTAAGAATGACAAGGCTCACTGACGATGAAGACGAAACGTCTGGGAATGTGCCACGTCTACGGTCTGACTCTGAAAATGAGCATGCATGCAATGGACTCTGGACTATATGCGTTCCTCTAAGTCCTCCCACCAATATGACCAAGTTGCGAAAGCAAGATCAAACAACCTCTAAAAGTAACACTGATGATAAAATATTTATGCGACAGTCAACTTAAGCAGTTATCGTTATGGACGTATATTGTTATGGTCTACGCCAGGCTGTTTGGCCTAAACTAATGAAATATAATTAGTTTTTTAGGATAAAATAATCCCTCTTTATAGAAAAAGTTGTCTCAACACCTGAAAGTTTATGGGAAACCTTACAGCCTTATAAATTTAATTCTTTCTTAATCGTGTCATGTGCTAGCATCACTCGCATGCATTGACTATAGGATTAAATAAAGAATTCGACTTTTACCAATGTATAAATTAAATTAAAATGCTAGAAAATTGTATTATGACTGATCTCCATATACACATATCTAAACAATGAAGGTCGATTGCTTCTCTGTAACTTAGGATAATCAATGCAAGCTAAGCCGCTCGACATTGTAGACTCACGTAGGTGTCGCATAATATATTCAGAAGGTAATTCGCTAAATAACGTATAGTAATTTAATATACATGCATGTATATCCAAAAAGACTGTAATAAAAAATCCCATCCATATTCAGCCTTCAAGTCATATCTTATGTGCCGATTGGAAGGAATGGTGAGTGAGGGTTAATTGAGGCTTGCAATAAGCCGTAATTCTTTAAAAATTAAGAATGAAAAAATTCAATAAATGAAAAAATGCCAAAAGCATCTAAAAAGTCAAATAGTAAAGAGGTTAAGATCTCGAGAAGTGCTGCTGTTGTTAAGTTAAATTTATAGAGCGTTGGTACGAATGAGATGCGCAAATCTAAGTTCAATGAAGGTAATCTCATATTAAGAGGTCAGCTCTCATATAGAAATCATCTTCAGAGCACTCGAGCTAAGGGTTTAAACATAAAAAAGTCCATGAAAGCATGTTTGAAAACTATCAAGAACTTATGATTATAAAACTTACTAACTTCAGAAGTTGTTTGACTTAGTTAATACAACTTGGTCATATTGGTAGAAAAACCTAGAGGAACGCACCTTGTCTAGAATCCATAGCATTCATGATAATTTCCAGAGTCGGACCATGGACTTGGAACTAACTTCAGATCCCAGT